GAATCTTCCCGGGGGCTTGAGGCGACGGACGGCTGCGATGGCCGCCGGGATGTGGCCGCCGGCCGCCTGGGTCAGGCCGGAGAGGGGGAGGACGCCAGCACAGTGCAGAGGGGTGGCTGGAGCCGACGGGCGGCTGCGTCGGTCAGAGCGGAGAGGGGGAGGAGGTGAGCGCCGTGCGAGGGACAACCGAGAGCCGCAAGTGGCTCGAGACGACGGCCGCCAGCCTCAGACCGGCGGCTGCCTGGGTCAGGGCGGAGAGGGGGAGGAGGCAACGGGGGGGCTAGCTGCCCGTTGTATCGCCCTGCTCAACGGGCCTTGCTCCCTAGTAAATAAATAAACCTGTCAGTCAGAACTGAGCATGGTCAGTCAGAACTGAGCATGGTCAGATGGATATTGGCTTGATCCAGAATATGGCAATTTCGTATTAGACCATGTGTATTCTAGGAAATGTTCAATTCCTTGGTGGCATATCATTATCTCAAAATGTACGTTAGTGGAGTATGACATGTCACATTGCTATCTAAATTTAGCAAGGGTCTAAATGGAATTGCTGGATCCTAGCACCTACCTTACTCCTATGTTCAACATTCTGTGACCACAGATATTTTCAAGATAGTGCACGGTTTATTGACTGCTTCAGTTACTTCCAAATTCTGTGAGCTTAGAATGGTATAGTACTTGCATGAAAAGGGAATTCATGTACACCCCTTTTAAATTGTTGGCCTTGCGGCAGTTTTCAAATCCTTACATTTTCTTTTCCTACAGGTGACCAGCAAATTTGGAATCCCAGGCCTCAAGCAGGCTATGGAATGGTTTGGTTACTATGGAGGTCTCTGTCGTGCCCCCTTGCTCCCATTAAACAAGACACAAGTGACAGAGCTGCGGCAGAATTTCAGCTCTAATGGCTGGCTGTGAAGGGAAAAGCTGTTCCATGCAATGACTAAAACCCTGAGATGGCCTGTAGGGTTTTTGCTATTTAACCAGACATTAACTTACACACACTCCTTGCAAATAGTAAAATACACCTTCCTCTCTCCCCCAGATTTAGCTACAGTGATGCATGCAAACTAGACTACTGTAACTTGATTTATGCAAGGCTACCCTTGAGACTGACCTGAAACTCCAGCTGGTTCAGAATGCAGCAGCTCATATCCTCACTGGAACATCACTAAGAGCTCACAGTAAACTGGTGCTCTGCCAGCTGCACTGGCTCCAGGTGAAGTACCAGATCAAGGTATTGTTTTTTGACCTTTAAGGCCCTAGGCCACCTCTCCTGGTATGTCCCCCACAGAGCTTTACACTCAGCAGATCAAAATCTTCTGGTAATTCCCAGCTCGAAAGATATCCGCTTATCGTCCACCAGAGCCAGAGCCTTTTCAGCTCTGGCACTGGCCTGGTGGAACACTCTCCCAGGTGAGATCCAAGCCCTGTGGGACTTAATGCAGTTCCACAGGGTCTGCAAAACGGAGCTCTTCCACCAGCCCTACGGTTGAGGCTGTGGTAACCATCTGGACTGGCCTCCTCCCGCACTCTTCCTTGCCCGTTTGTCCTGCTTCTCTGTATTAACATCTATTGTTGCACTTGATGCAAAACCAGTCCAGATGGGGTGTATTAATCTGTTCTAATGTTTCAACTGCCATCGGATATTGATATTAGACACTGTTCTTAATGTTAATTCATAATTATTGTTTTAAATATTGTTATTGTTATTACTCGCCCTGAGCCTGCTTGCAGGGAAGGTGGGCTATAAATCAAATAAATCATATCAAATCATTCAACCTACGATGTATACACGGGTGTGTTTGAAAGACTAAATGCTACACGAGCAGTAAAATAGAGTTTCACATGCTGCTTCTCATGGACCTTCCTCATATTGGCTTTATCCCTTGCTATTTACAGTCTTCAAATAGTTTCTGAGCAGGGGCAATAATCACTTGCATATATGCCATGGTGACTCTTCTCTGCTAGCTTTCCCCTTGCCCTGCCCAGAAAAAGTACTTCAGCAGTAAACGTTCCATTCAAGTTTCATTTTTGTAGACTTCCGGTTTATGGCAGCGCGCTAAGCGGACTCGTCTCCCAGACTTCCCGGGGGTGAAGCTGTGCACCGGCAGAAAGGAGGGGAGGCGAGGCATCACTTCCCCCCCAGGAGCCTGGTGAAAGGCTCCTGACCAGGGGACTTCTGAGAGGGCGCCTCTTCGCCAGCGCGATGCTGGGGAATCGAGGTGTTTCTCTGTCCCAACAGTCCCTCTGCTGAGAGTCCGAACGGAACTAGTGATGCTGACTGGGATAAGCGCTGGAGATCGAGCGGCTAAAACGGAGGCTAAGTGAGGTCATATGACCGAATATGAACAGTGAGTCGGACTAAAGCGTATTTGCTATTTAAAAAGAAAGCTCCCCACCCTTGCACATAAACTTAAAAGTGAGACCCGGGGGGGGGGGGGGGGGGAGGAAAAGGGAAAAACGATAAAATCTGTTGGGAAAGACTTACCAAGGCGCGTATGAGCGCATATTCAGAGACTTTAAATTTTTTTGCGAAAGTAAACAATCCATAAAGATGGCGGGGGAGAACACTGAGAAAGAGAAACTTTCAACAGCGAAAGTAGCTGAGAGCCCACGACCGGAAGGAACCACCGAGCTGGCCAAAACGTTGGCAGAGTCCCTGCATCCCCTGCTGGACCAGATGACTAATCTCAAGGAACAGTTGTCAACAATCACTACTCAGCAGACACAATTGACTGAGACTCTCAATATTACAGAACAAACAGCTGAGAAAGTGAAAGAAGTTGACGCCACTGCTCAAAAGGTGAAGAAAAAGGTACAAAAATTGGAAAAGAAGCAAGTGTCTACAGAAGAACAGCTTTTACAACTACAAATGGAGAAGGCAAACCTGGTCCTTCGTTTCCAGGGTGTCCCAGAGACTAAGGGTGAGAATCTGAAGCAAATGATGAGCGAAGCATTGACCCCAGTAACAGATTTGAAGGCGGAATTGTTGATGAGTGAGATGGATGTGGCCTATAGGTCGTATTCCGGATATATAAAGAAAAATAATCTGCCTGGTGGGCTTTGTTAGATTACTGCAGAACAGAGGTGTACATTAAAGCAGCAGAACACTGCCTGGAAAAGTTATTACTGCAGTCATACAATTCCAGCATCATTAAGTATGTTTATGGCAGGTGATCCATGGCAGCTGAAAAGCAGTGCCTGACCATCTATCTTTCTGCTTTGATGCCATCTACCAAACTGAACCAATGCCCAATTGTCCACATTATCATGAAGGCAAGACCAAAACTCCACATTCGTTTACATTTTTAGGATTACAGAGAGAGGCTATGGGAAGTGCTTTTAAAATTCAATAAATTATTACATGAACACTAAATATTATTACTTAATCAGGAGTTCTCCCTTTTCCAGAATCTAATGCATGCTCTACAGGGAGATTGGTACATCTTCCAGGGGGTGGGGTGGGGAGACAGACTTTAGTAGCCATCACAGTACATATGCATATAAAAAAAGGCTGCTCACCATTTTAATATCAGCAACAACCTTGTATGACTTCTGCACTTGGACTGTACATTCACCTTGAACGTATCTTCCCCTTACTGTTCCACAACCTCTTCCCAACACTTGCAGCAAGAAAAAGACATAGAGGCAAAAAATCCAGCAATTCTTTATTTGGCCAAGGCCCATACATGGGCAGAGACAGAAAGGCACGAGGGTGGCATTGACACGCAGACATTCAGTGTGGAGGTGGGCTGGTCACACAGGCTCCAGCATGGCACTTAAGGGACACACACACCATGCGGGTCAATGCTTGGCTAAGAACACCCCCAGTCTCAAGACAATCCCATGATAGATTCTAGTGCACACAAACATGAAGTGGCTGCACAGAAACAAGAGTAGTTTTTCAAAGACCATTCAATCCGAACTGTCCCCCACCCTCCACCATTCACTTTCAGTCTTACTTGCTGTTCACCCACAACTGATTTTCCCTACCTATTACCCCAACCCTGTATTTCCATTCAGCCTGCTTTTCTAAGAAGGATCCTACCAAAAGGCTTCAACACCTTAGCTTGCACTTATGACTTAGGGGTGGCCTGCAATCTTCAAGCTGTACGTTATTGTAAGTTGTCCTACTAGGTTCCAATATTTGCTTATCCCGCCCACCAAAATGCTTTTACAGGGCAGCCCCCCCCCCAAACAGCATAATTATCAGTGTAATCCTAAGCAGAGTTACACCCTTCTAAGCCCACTAAAGTCTTAGAAGGGAGTAATGCTGCTTAGAACTGCACTGTATATCTGAGAATGATAATCACATTAGACCCAATGGGCAAAAAAGAGATGGTAACCGCTTAGTTTGGGGGTGTTCAGGGCCATGTGCATGCCGTGATTCTGTGACTGTATTACATAATTCAATACTGGTCATCAAAGTCAGTATTTTGAGGATCTCAGTTCTGGTTATTTTTAAAGCAAAATTCTAGCTGTTCAGGCTGCAAAAACAGGCTAAAAAGCCAGGAGACCAGTGCCTAATAAACTCTGAGAAGCCGGAAAAAGAGGGGAGGGGGCTGTACCAGACTTCGGGCAGTTAGGCTCCAATGTTCTACCAAGCTTTTTGCCTCTTCCTATGACTACAAAAACAGCACTTATGCAAAATAAGCAGCTTTATGCACACTCATTATTTTGTATAATCAATCCCATTTACTGAATACAGCATTCCTGATCAGAATTTTAATTTTTTCAAGTGCAGAATACACACAGCCCTGCCTATGTGGCACTACAGTGCATGGATGCCATGCAACAGTGCCGGAGGCAAAATTGATCCCTTCCTTCTTAGGCCCACTAGGTCAAGTAGCCTACATAAGGAAAGGCAACCCAAATACGCACAGTGAAAGGGCTTACATTAACAGGATAAAGCAGAAGCAGAAGAAATCTACAGCAATGGAAAGAGGCCCCCGATACACTGGGTAACAACATGGGCAGGCAGGCAGGCAGCAGAGCTCAGGCTTCATTCCCTGTGCTGATTTACAAGGTTGGGGGGAAGGCACATTCAGAAGGTCTAGAATTCTACTCTACAGATCCATTTTCCACTTTGCATTTCTTTGTTTTTGACACAGATTGAGCCTCATGGGGGGGGGGAGAAGATTGAGTGAGACCCAGAAGGCTTAGGAAGGGGAATGGGTGCTGCGCTAAATGCAGATTCCAACTCTGACCACTGAAGTCCAATACAGCTAAGTCACAACCTCCCAGCTGCGTTGGTTTCAAAGTCAAGAAAGATGTAAACTAACCTTATGCATTCCCATAATGTACATTAACAAGTCACTCCTCCCTTACCAGTTGGGGGGGGGGGGGGGGGCACAAATACAGCAACCCTCACTGGGCCCATCACGGCTGTGGGAATTTAGCTCTAGCAGACCTTCTATGGAGAATGCTCCCAACAAAGGGAATGCCACTGCTTCAGGAGTGCCAGATGCTTTGTCCGGAAGGGTGGTTCTGTAACTGAAGTTTGGCACCAACGCACACTATGAGGGCCAAGATGTTTTAAGAGAGCGATCTAGGCAGGCTGTCCAACTGAGCAGAGCTGGGTTGGGGTCATCTCCCTTCAAGAGATGGTATTTGTCTCTGTAATTTCTACACTCCACATTTCTCCCAACCCCTGGGACTTAGTCTGCAGTTTCATGGGAGAGTCCCAGGGTAGGGCTACTTAGAGCTTGCCCCATCATGCTGCGAGGCCATGCGCCAGCTTGGAGGCACTCTGCGCACGCTGAACCACTGCCTGGCACTTCTCCCGTCGCAAGAGCTTGTTGTTCTCAAAAAAGCCTTCATTACGGGGGATTCCATGGGAGCCATCAGGGAAAGTCAGAAGTCCTGTGGGGAAAAAACAAAACAGCATTTTCTGACACAACTATAAGGCTCAGGCACCCAGTACAGTGGAGGAGCAATCTCACATAGCAATTAACGAGAAAAAGACAGCTGGAAATGCAGTTTATTTTGTTTATTATTTATTTGATTGTATCCTGCCCTCCCCACCATGGCAGGCTCAGGGCGGCATACAGAACATTTTAAAACAAGTTCAATAAAACCACAGCAATACAATACAATAATACAGTCATAAAACAACTAGTGCTCTTTGTAGCCGATGGCAGGTAGTAGCAGCATCTAAAGTCTAATATTGGCATGTGAATAATGATGTTAATTTGGGGCCAGGGTTTTGATTTATTAGGGCCACTCCCTACTCGAAGGCCTGGTGGAAGAGCTCCATCTTGCAGGCCCTGCGGAACTGTACAAGGTCCCGCAGGGTCCCGATGTCATCTGGGAGCTCATTCCAGCAGTGCAGAGCTGCCACTGAAAGGCCCTGGCCCTCGTCACAGCCAGCCTGGCTTCTCTAGGGTCCGGGAGGGCCAGACGGGTTTGGGACCCCAATTGTAGTGCTCTCAGGGGAACATATGGGGAAAGGTGGTCCCTTAGGTATGTAGGCCCCTGACCATGTAGGGCTTTAAAGGTAAGAACCGCATCTTGAACTGAATTTGGTATGCTATAGGTACCCATTGCAGTGCTTCAAGCGCAGGCTGGATGTGCTCCTGCATAGGGAGACCCAACAACAGTGCGGCTGCTGCATTCTGCACCAGGTGCAGCCTCTGGATTTGGGACAAGGGCAGCCCCATGTAGACAGCATTGCAGTAATCCAATCTCAAGATGACCATTGCATGGATCACTGTTGCCAAGTCATTGCGTTCGAGGAAGGGAAGTGCTCGATCAGCTGGAGATGATAAAAGGCTGAGTTCACAGTGGCTGCTACCTGGGCCTCCATCATTAAAGAGGCATCCAGGAGCCACTCCCAAGCTCCTAACCTCCAGCGCTGGCACCAACAGTGCCCCATCAAAGGTTGGGAGTGGGATCCCTGCCCTCAGACCGCTCCAACTCAGGCACAGGACCTCTGTCTTCGTCAGATTCCATTTCAGTCAACTCAGTCTAAGCCAACCAGCCATGGCTTTCAACGCCAGGTCCAAATCTTCCAGACTAGTGTCGGACTGGCCATCCAATGGCAGATAGAGCTGGGGGTCATCCGCATATTGGTGACAGCCCAGCCCATAGCTCCGGGCAATCTGGGCAAGGGGGCGCATATAGATGTTAAATAACATCGGGAAAAGCACCGCTCCTTGGGGCACTCCGCAAACTAGCAGGTGCCTTCGGGATAGCTGTTCCCCATGGCCACCCTTTGTCCCCGACCCTGGAGGAATGAGGAGAGCCACTGCAAGGCAGACTGCTGAATTCTGGTGTTGGTGAGGTGGCGGGTCAGTAGTTGGTAGTTGACTGTGTCGAATGCTGCTGACAGCAACACCACCGAACCGCCCCAATCCAGATGCCTCCAGAGGTTGTCTGTAAGGGCGACCAGTACTGTCTCTGTCCCATGGCCTGGTTGGAAGGGGTCTAATGCGGAGGTGTCATCCAAAAAACCCTGCAACTGAATTGCCACTGCACTCTCAATTAATTTGCCCAAATAGGGCAAATTGGAAACTGGCCGATAGTTAGCCAATTCGGCCTGGTCCAAGGATGGCTTTTTCAAGAGAGGGCAGACCACTGCCTCCTTTAGTGTCCCAGGGAACAGTCCCTCAACGAGGGACTTGTTGATAATCTCCCTTAGGGCACCTCATAGCCCATCATGGCCAGCTTTAATTAGCCATGACGGGCACGAATCAAGGCTGCAAGTGGTCAGGCGAACAGTTGCAAGCAGTTTATCGACCTCCTCTAGGCTGAGTGGATCAGAATAATCGAGAATTTGACTAGAAGACGTGCATGGAGCCTCAAGTTCCCTTACTGTCTCAACTGTGGCGGGAAGTTCATGTTGGAGCGACAAGACTTTATCTGCGAAATAGCTCAGAAAAGCCTCACAGCCAATCTCCAATTCCTTAATGTTTGGTCTGCCCTGTGGCAGAAAGTAATAGACTGAATTTGTCCTAAATAATTGGGCTGGGCAAGAGCTTGCAGACACAATCGTGGCTGCATAATATTCTTTTTTAGCAGCTTTGACTGCCATCTCGTAGGATCTCATAGACGTCCTATAAGATGCTCTTGTGGCTTCGTTGTGGGCACGCCACCACTTTCTCTCTAGCCGTCTGTGTCCTCGCTTCATCAGCCGCAGCTCCTGTGTGTACCATGAAGTGAGCTTAGAGCGGCGCGGGCACAGAGGGCGTCAGGGAGCGATTTTGTCAATGGCTACTGAGAGTCAGCTATGCCAGTCCTCGACAAGCACTTCTAACAAGCCCCCAGGGGGCATGGGATCCTGCAGAGTCAGCTGGAACCGCATTGGGTCCATTTGGCTCTGCGGGAGAGCTAAAATGCACTCGCTGACCATAGAGAGTTGGGGTGGAACATTCACATGGGCCTTCAGAGCAAAGTGGTCCGACCATGGAACCACTGTAGCAGTAATTTGGTCCACTGTCACCCCCGCCGCGAAGATCAAATTGAACATGTGCCCCGCCTGGTGAGTGGGTGCCGTTACATACTGGGAAAGTCCCAGCGCCGCCATGAACGACACCGGGTTCACCGCCTGCATGGAAGCTGCATCATCAGCATGCACGTTAAAGTCACCCTAGACTGATAGTCTTGGGTGCCCAGTGCCCAGCCTGATACAGCCTCCAGCAGGGATGACAGGCTGTTTGTCAGTGTGTTGGGTGGACGGTACACCAACCAAACAGCCAAACTTTCCCTGGCTTCCCATACAAAGCCAGCACACTCTATGCCTGTGAGCCTCGGTGGCGGAGTAAGCATCCTGAATGAACAGAGCCACTCCTACCCCCCTCCCCTTAGTCCGGGATTGGTGGAGGACCGAGAACCCATGAGGAGCTAGTTGGGAGAGAGCTACCGTTTCCCCATCTCGCACCCAGGTCTCAGTCATGCATGCCAGGTCCATGTCCTGCTCCGACAGAAAGTCGTGAAGGACCATGGTCTTATTATTTATGGACCTGGCGTTGCACAGCACCAATGTCAGAGAGGAGTCATTAATCCTAGCCCCACTGCCTACTACCTTCGGGATGGGATGTAGGATGGAAGGGACCGAGCTCTTCTATGTCTCAGTCCCCCTCCCTTCCATCTGTGCCTAGTCCCACCACTGTACTTTCCCCTCCCCAGGACCACTGGTATCCTCTGCCTGGCCATCGCCCGTTAATGCTCTTTGCTAAGCCACAAACTATTGATGGGCTGACTGATGGCCAAGATATAAAGGGGTGCTATTACAAGCAGTTCTCCTAATGCCATTAGTCCTAAACAACAATCCAAATCTATCCTAACAATCCAAATCTATCCTAACAGATAATATAAATTTAAATGATCTAACAATTTAGCACAAATACTCTAGTTCATCTGTCCAGTGAACTAGTAAAGTAGTGATAACACAGTGGTGATAACACAGTTTATATTCCAATATCTGATCCCCAATTTGTCAGGTAAGTGATCATCACATCAATTCAAACAATAGGACAGTTCGTCCCTAGTAATTAATTAGTTATTTAACATTCCAAGTAGTCAATTCAAACAACAGGATAGTCCATTCCAAGTTATTAATTGATTAAATTTAAACATTCCAGGTAATCAATTTAAACATATACTCAATCCAAAAAGAAGGAAAAAAGGAAATCCACGGAGGGAGGGGCCCTGGTGGAAACACAAGGCTAGACTAGCAGAAACCCATGAGCTGAAAGTGGGTCCTGAGAAAATTATGAGCACACAGCACTTTGGAGGACAAGTCCTCACTAGCTGCCATCCCACACCACAGCAATTGTCATGAATCATACTTAGAAGAATAGTACTGTGCGCTCCCACAAACAAGAAACTCAACACTCACCAAAGCCATCAACACGTCCACTCTTGAACTCTCCTTCAAAGATCATATTGTCATAGCGAGTGAAGACTCCAACACCATTGAACTTTCCCTGGACAAACTCTCCCTCGTACCTGCAGCGATAGTACGACTGTGTCAGAGTGGGGCACTGCTAGTCCTTGCACTCAACCTATGGTCCACAGCCAAAGACTGTAAGGCTTTTGAAACAAACTTGGGTGAGTACACTTTTCTGGACAGAAAAAGGGTCAAGAGAGTCATCACTGGAGGGTCATTAGTCAAGGCTGTACAGTAATCCAGGTAACTACAGAAGACTTATGGTAAGGGATGGTGCAGCAACTAACACAAAGAAGCTTTTGCTTATGGTTCTGAGTGATAGATCACATAGCCACGCATGCATACAAAAAGGTCTTCATGCTGGATGCAGAAATGCAGATACATTCTCCAAACTCAACTGTATAGCCAAGGCAGCCAGAGTACAAAGATCCACTCATTCTCATCTTCCTGGGGCTGTTTAGGACATGCTCATACATGCTCACTCCTTGCACTGGCCCAGAGCAGTGCAATGTGCCCACAGTCCTATACCCACCTGGAGCCATCTGAAAAAGTGAGCACCCCACAGCCATTGAAGAGGCCATTCTCAAAGTGTCCCAGGTAAACGCTGCCATCAGCAAATGTCAACTGCCCAACACCGTGCCGACGCCCTAGTCAGAAAGAACAAGCAGTATTGCTTGTATATGAGTTGTCAAAACTGCAATGAAACCTCAAACCAGCAGGATCTACAGTTGCATCATTAACTCCGAGGAAGATGCAAAAAAGTTCCTGAGGAAGAGGGAGGTGGTACAGTCTATGCCAGCAAATCCAGTTTGCAGAACAAGACTGTGGGAGAGGCCTGTCTTTGCTTGTTCCACTCACCAGCCTTTCCCTGACAAAGCACACGGCTTCCCATTATACAGAGACCCACAATTAAAACCCAGGACTCTTTATAAAAGGGACTTGTGGACTCCTGGAGCAGGACTAGATTGCTAGCTTCATTACATCACATTCAGCCAGCAGATCTCTAATGTAACACAGCATGCCACCAAAGAGCAGGGTTTCTCTTCCAAAACTACACACAGGCAATAGCTGTCAGTGGGATAAAGGGGGTCAGGAAGGGAGTTCTTAGCCTGACAGTTTCCTGATGGGAGAACCTGGGAACTTGTGAATCTGTTGTCAGAAAGGGTACTATGGTGCCCAGCCAGATTCAGATCTCTCTCTGCCTGGGAATACTTTCCTTGAAGAAAAACTGCTGCAGGATTAATGGTAGCAAATCTTCCTTTTACCATGATGTTAACTCTAGGGCAGAGCTGCTGTCTAGCCTGGCTGCTGTTAACCTATATGGAGCAAAATTTCTTGCACAGGGAGAAGCAAAACGCAGTACGGTGGGGTGGGCATTGTGCCTAACATGCACAAGTCAGGATTGACAACGGCCTTGAAGCAGGGATGCACTTGAAGCACTTTGCTAAAGCAGCATAAGCACTTTATTTGCTCACTTGGCACGATACTGGTATCTTGGGACACTCATTACCATTGGTTAGCTACAGTTATTTTCTCATTCTATAAAACTACTTAGAGATAGTAAGTTATGTGCATTCCAGGAAGAGCAGATCTGGTCCACCATAAGAAGGCTGAGGGGGTCCCTCAACTTGCCCAGCCACACTTACCTTCCTTCCACTCCCCACGATACTCCTCTCCGCTGGAATAGGTGAAAGAACCTTTGGTAAGGGTCATGGTGCTAGCTTTCAGGGAGGCAGGATAGCAGCTGCAAGGAAGGGAGCAGGGGTATGAGAGCAGCATAAGACAGGTCTGAAGAGGAGCAGTGTTTCAGAGTCTGGGGCAGTGTTTGAGAGATTAGTGGCACAGGTACAGAGGGTGGGGGAGACAGAGCGGTGATGTCCACACAGCACAACCAACTTGCACAGCAGACAGCAGTGACCCAAACACCAACTCGTGGCTGGAGATCTAATGCCCAATTAAACTATGAAACCATGCTGTTCTCAACTGAGGGCCACAAACATGCATGTGTGACATCCATTTGCTAACAAGATTCAGAAATACTATCAACTGTAGTAATCTGAATACTAATAGCTAAGAATATAAAAATCAGCCTGACAATATAGGATGATACAGATTACAGAGCAGAGACTGGGCTAAACCCCAATTCACGGAAATACATGAAATTGCAACAGAATACCCACATAAATATCAAAGAAGATTTGGATTACCAAAGGGCCATTGGAGAATATGTTTCATCCTAGTAATCCTATTATTGACTGTGTCAGAGATGTTGAAAGCCCCAGTGACTGGTAGGGAAGCATATGCTAGGAGCATATGCTAGATGGACCCTTGGACTGATCCAACAGGACTTCTCTACCATGGTTAGAGCAACACGGGGAAATAAGATCCAGGAACAGAGATGACATATATTTCTGTAACAATGAATGACACCCTAAAGGGCAGCTCTGATATTACTCACCTCCTGCTCTTCTTTGAAAACCTTTCAGTCTGCAGTGTGTTGCCCCAGGAGGCAGTTTCCCTAACCCCCAGACCCTCCCGCTCCTGAACATAATATCTGCCAGATTATGACTCTCTCAAGCATTGACAAAGTGGAGGGCTGGGAACGCTGCATAGCTTTCATTTATAGGGCACTGGCTCTCAGACTGTTTCATTTCAAAGGTCTTCTAAAGAAACAGCAGTAGTCAATGACAGAATCAATGGCCACTCAGAATGAGCCTTGAGCTGTTTTCATTGCCACACTGCAAAGCAGCAGCTCAAGAGTAATGGGTGGTCTCGTCATCCCCAGTCTAACGAAGAAATACCTGAAAGTACTGGAGCAAACCCTTCCAGCACAGGCTGTGCAATGTTTTCTCTCACGTGGGATCCACCCTCAGAAGGTATAGATGCATTTGACTGCAGCCAGAGTCGTTCACCTCTTCCCCTCTCAGGACTGACCTGGAGTGAAGTATTCTGTGGACTTCTGTCCTACTTCTCCATACCAGTGATACAAGAAGGAGAGGACCGACTCCAACAAATGGGTATATCTATTCCTACCATAGGAAATTCAAGCCTTATGGCTCAGGTTGCATGTACTTGTTTTTTATCTCATCAGATTAGTGTTGGCAGCTTGAACACCAAGGGCTCTCTACCTAAATGAAATATTCATGTATGCAGCCCATCTGGACTAGCTGGGGATACAACTTGGTGTGTCCCATCACAGGGGCTTACTCAGGCCTCCCTTCTGCTGCTGAGGAATTCAGAAGGCAGAAAAATGGCCAGTCCCAATTGTAACGCTAACACACACACACACACACACACACACACACACCAATAGAAATCATGTCCTTTAGTACAGACATAGACATAGCCAAGTGCTACTTTTATGTAGCGGTTCTTGATAATGTAATTCACAGGCCAAGCTTGAATAACAAGGGCATATAAAAGGGAGTTCTCAGTAGAGTTTTCCTAACTTTCAAAGTAGCTTGTTCCAGATGTTTGACAAAGTCTGAGAATAGTTGTAATTTGCAGGCTGTCAAAGAATGGGATACCTGAGAGATACTGCATGGCCAGGAAAAACGTAGGCAACTTTTTAGCCACATCTGTATTTTACACACTCTCCTCTGTTAATCAACTCATAGAGCTATCAGTTTCAACAGATAAAGTAAGTAAATTCTTGTTCTTACACAAAATACCTGAAGGATCTTCATGGGGGGGGGGGGGCTACTATACCAGGGAGTGGGACAAGAGTTTTACAGTTTTGGTTTGCATGAGAGTTGATCAGAAATTGAGAGATTTCAGTATGGGAAAATATTTCCAGCAAAGTTCTGATAGGCCAAACTTATAGCTGATTAACACTGTACCAGCATAGTTATGGCATAAATACAGTTGCCAACAAGACAAAAAAAATCTCCTGTCCCTTTAATAGAAGCTTAATGGGATGCTATTTACATGACCTCCATGCCATGAAAAGCTCCAGCTGCCCATCTCCACACATGAAGCATCTATTAAAGGCTTAATTGGGCAGAAATACAACACATAAATCCTGTGAATAAATAAAAGGGACAGGATACTTTTCTCTAAGCCTGTTGGTAACCCCAAACACAACACCGTCTCCCTCTTACGCATTCCCAGTAACGAAGTGTTAAAAATGCTAGTGTTGTCTTTCTTGGGTTCAAAGTGGTTTACATAAATGCTGAAAGCCAATCAATGAAAGAAAGTACTAGAAAGCAAAACAATACCAGTAGAGAGGGGGGAAAAGATGACACTTAACAGCCACTCTTACAGTGCCATTGCTAGCTGTTACCTTTTCTGCTGTGCATTACAAATACTCTCCCTGTATACCTATGCAGGGAAGATAAGAGTCAATATGCAGCAATGAGGGAGATGCCATGGAGACATCATGGAACTATCCAACACGCAATGCCCCAGCATGCTCCCAAGAAGACCTCACAATACGTCTCCCTACAAAGCCTCCCATGACTTGGAAAGGTATCCACTAGGACCTTAAGCTAGAAGCTCTGGGGTTCTCTTCAGATGGGAAGTTGTATCCTGGCAGCCAAAACACAATTAGGAGCAGCTTGCAACAAATTTGTTTGCCTAGGAAAAAATGGGGGGGGGGGGAACCTGCCGTTTCAGGCACAGCAACCAGCCCACTCCATAATCCAATAGATTAAAAAGACTGAGAAGAAAACCTGTAAACTACAGGTTTACTAGGAGAATGGAATGAGTCCCACTGCAGTACTAAGGATTTCCACAAAGACAATGTTTAGAATGCACAAAATAAATGTGGATTGGTATCTGTGTGAGAGAAACACGCATCTTGAAAGGAAGAGGGAGGGAAGCCAAGGTCAAAGAAATATACATCCTGTAACAACAAACTCATCGAAGACTATACTACAAGTTGTCTAACACTTAATGGAAAAGATTAAAGCAACAGAAAACTAAAGTTCCCAACAAGCCCGAAGAAAAATGTCCTGTTCCTTTAATGGAGGATTAATGTGTGGACATGGACAATGAAAACTTTCACTTCCAGGAGTTAAACAAAATCCTACTAAGGGACAGGGCATTTTTATCTCCAGACAGCTGGCAACCCTGACCCCTACATAAAATCATCCTACAGAGAAACGGCACCAGAATCTGTTCTGGCCATGAATACCCAGGAAAGATATAATCATTTACTTGACACAGAAAAATATGATAGCCAGAGTTACAGTGACCAAAAGCCTTATTCTGGTATCTCTCTCAGATACTAATAATTTTTCCCAGTCTCCTTCATCCCATCCATCCCTCATATTGATGTGATTGATCAGCAGTGTCTATTGGTCACTGCCCCACTCCCCCACATGGCAGAAACTGCTTGTTTTAGCATTACACTAGCAGTAACTGAGGACAGGGAAGACATTGAGCTATTATGATTTCCACTTGTGCTATTGTCCAGGATTAAGACCATACCCAAAGCCCTGGTGGGGTGTGGTGGTGTTGGACAGACTGCCCCCTTCACATTGCAAGACTCCTTAAATGAAGACATTTGAGGTAAATAACAAGTATGATGTATGTGGCAGAGTGTATGTGTTTCCCTTCTGCTACCATACTTCAGAACAAAGACAATTGACTGAGTCACTGCATTTATTGAACAGTATCAGTTGTGAAGTAAATTCTGAAAGTGTCACAGAAATATACAGTTAACTTTTTTGATCAGGCAGAACTGGTCATTCTAAAAGCTATATGACAACAACAAGAATTAGGTGCAGTTTTCTCCATCACTGCATCCTCATGCTAGATACTGCTACACAGGTTTAATTCTGGAGCACTTCAGAGAGGCACAGAAGCCCAGAGAAGAAAAAAGGGGGCAATCCCACATATGAACCAATGGTTTCCCATGGGTCACTGTGGGTTTTATTGCTTCTATAAACTTTATTTGTGGCCTGACTGGCACGGCTTCTGTGAGTACTGAATGGCTGTCTCGTTGTATGCAGAAAGGCAAGAGAGAGATGGTGATGATGTTGTTGTTCAGTTGTCCAGTCAAGCCCAACTCTTTGCAACCCCATGGACCACATCATGCCAGGCCCTCCCGTCTTCCGTCATCATCTGGAATTTGCTCAACTTCATGTTTGTTGCATCGATAACACTGTCTAACCATCTCATCCTTTGCCATCCTCTTCTTCTTTTACCTTCAATCTTTCCCAGCATCAGGGTCTTCTCCAGTGAGTGCTCCCTTCTCATTTGGTGGCCAAAGTATTTGAGCTTCAGTATCTGGCCTTCCAGGGAACAGTCAGGGTTTCTTTCTTTTAGGATTGGCTGATTTGATCTCCTTGCAGTCCAAGGGACTCTCAAGAGTCTTTGCCAGCACCACAATTTGAAAGCATCCATTCTTCAGCACTGAGCCTTCCTTATGGTCCAACTCTCGTAGCCATACATTACTACTGGGAATACCATTGCTTTGACCATACAGACATTGTTGGCAGGGTGATGTCTCTACTTTTTATTATGCTGTCTAGGTTCACTCCCAAGGAGAAGGCGTCTTCTAATTTCATGACTGCAGTCACCATCTTGCGGTGGCGCAGGTGGTAAAACGCCTGCTGGTAACATCAGTGAACAGCTGCTACAGCTGTTCGAGACCCACCGCGGCCAGGGTGAGCTCCTGGCCCTAGTCCCAGCTCCCGCCCACCCAGCGGTTCGAAAGCAATTAATATAAGTGAGTAGATGAATGGGTACCTGCTATTAGGTGGCGGGGGGCACCCTCCCCGTACGGGTGTGTGTGGCAGGAGCAGTAGAAGCGACTGCAGCGGTGACGGTGGAAATGGCGGCGATGGAGTGGCGTAGCGTCAGAGCGGCAGAGTGAAGGCAAAACGGAGCAATGGAGGTGGAGACAGAGGCGGAATCATGCTGTTTAGGTTCGCCATCGCTTTCCTCCCAAGGAGCAGGCGTCTTTTAATTTCATGGCTGCAGTCACAGTCTGTGGTGATCTGGGATCCCAGGAACGTGAAGTCTGTCACTACTTCCACGGCTTCCCCTTCTATTTGCCAAGGAGTGATGGGGCCGGATGCCATGATCTTAGTTTTTTTGATGTTGAGCTTCAAGCCCACTTTTGCGCTCTCCTCTTTTACTCTGAGCAAGAGGTTCTTTAGATCCTCTTCACTTTCAGCCATTAGAGTGGTATCATCTGCATATCTGAGGTTGTTGATCTTTTCCCCAGCAATCTTAATTCCCGCTTGTGATTCATCCAGGCCAGCATTTCGCATGATGTACTCTGCATATATATTAAATAAGCAAGGTGACAATATACATCCTTGTCGTACTCCTTTTCCTATGCTAAACCAATCAGTTGTTCCATATCCAGTTCTAACTGTCGCTTCTTGACCCTTATACAGGTTTCTCAAGAGACATGTGAGGTGGTCTGGTACTCCCATCTCTTTAAGGACTTGCCATAGTTTGTTGTGATCCACACAATCAAAGGCTTTAGTGTAGTCAATGAAGCAGAAGTAGATGTTTTTCTGGTGTTCCCTTTCTTTCTCCATAATCCAGCAAATATTGGCAATTTGATCTCGTACCTCTACCTCTTCGAAACCCAGCTTGTATTTCTGGCAGTTCTCCACGTACTGCTGAAGCCTAGCTTGTAGGATCCGGAGCATGACCTTGCTATTATGTGAAATGAGTACAATTGTGTGATAGTTTGAACATTCCTTGGCATTGCCCTTCTTTGGGATTGGAACGTATACTGACCTTTTCCAATCCTGTGGCCACTGTTGCATTTTCCAAATTTGCTGGCATACAGAGTGTAGCACTTTAACAGCATCATCTTTTAAGACTTTGAACAGCTCAGCTGGGATAACATCACCTACGCTAGTTTTGTTGTTAGTAATGCTTTCTAAGGCCCATTTGACTTCGCACTCCAGGATGTCTGGCTGGAGGTCAGTGTTCACGCCGTTGTGGTTGTCAAGGACACTGAGGTCCTTTGTGTATAGCTCTTCTGTGTATTCTTGCCATCGGTTCCTAATTTCTTCTGCTTCTGTTAGGTCCCTACCATTTTTGTCCTTTATCATGGCCAGCTTTGCATGGAACATTCCCTTGATTTCTCCAATTTTCTTGAAGAGATCTCTAGTCTTTCCCATTCTATTGTTTTCCTCTATTACTTTGCATTGTTCATTCAGGAAAGCCTCGTTATCTCTCCTTGCTGTTCTCTGGAAATCTGCATTCAGTTGGGTAAATCTTTTCTTTTCACCTTTGCCTTTCACTTTCCTTCTTTGCTCTATTTGTAAAGCCTCATCAGACAGCCACTTTGCTTTCTTGCATTTCTTTTTCTTGAGGATGGTGCTGATTGCTGCCTCCTGTACAATGTCACAAACCTCTGTCCATAGTTCTTCAGGCACTCAAATCTAGTCTATCAAATCTAGTCCCTTAAACCTATTCTTAACCTCCAATGTATATTCAAAAGGGAATGAGATCTAGGCCAAACCTGAATGGCCTAGTGGTTTCCCCAACATTCTTCAGTTTAAGCCTGAATTTTGCAATGAGTAGCTCATGATCTGAGCCACAGTCAGCTTCAGGTTTTGTTTTTACTGACTGTATAGAGCTTCTCCATCTTTGACTGCAAATGACATAATCAATCTGATTTTGGTGTTGCCCATCTGGTGATGTCGATGTGTAGGGTCACCTCTTAGGTTGTTGGAAGATGGTGTTCGCTAGGACCAGTGTGTTCTCTTCACTAAACTGTGTTAGCCTTTGCCCGGCTAACTCTTTTAGCCTTTTGTTACTGTCCATGGGGTTTTTTTTGGCAAAAATACTGGAGTGGGTTGCCATTTCCTTCTCCAGTGGATCATGTTTTGTCTGAGTTCTCTGCTGTGGCCGGTCCATGCTGGGTGGCCCTCCACAGCATAGCCCACGGCCTCATTGAAGCACACAAGTCCCTTCGCCATGTCAAGGCAGTGATCCATGAGAGAGGAGATGGTGATAGAAATGAGTAATTGGATAGCAACTGTAACAGAGAAGAACTATGACTGGGTGCTTATCAGAGATCTGCAACTATGTGTTTGAGTACTGCTACCTAGATGGTTTTCTATTTTGTACATCCCAGCCCCACCAGTAGTCCTACTGATGTCTGGGGATTCCCCTCCTGGGAGAAAAGTATTGCCACACTGAGGCAATATTCACCCATCCAATGTAGGGAGTTCCCTCCTTCTTGAGGCCTGGTTTTGATCTTGAAAAGGAAAATATGTCTCAAATGTACCAATAAGAACTATACCAATAAACAGGGTAGAATACCCAGTATTCACCAATAATTGTGGATGCATTTTCCACAGCCTTCACCAATGAATGGTGGAGGCTGGGTCATGCGCATGTGGCAAATTACAGTCAACATTTCCCTTCCTTCATCAGCACAGTGCAAACTTACCCTGTATCCCCTATGAGGGACATTCTGCTGTAATCTGACAGGTGAGTTGTTAAGCAAGTACTCAATTCTCCACATTACAGGGTATACAAATGTATTTATGTATATTTGTGCAGTTTGCAGACTTCAGGGTGCTTAAGAGGGAAGGATGGATCATATTTGGAGGTATGGGTTGGCTTCATGTGGAAGCTTAATTCTTGTTTACCTGTGCTTGCTTTGTCTTTGTAGTCTTAGCAGTAGCAGTGCAGCTGAGATAACTGGCAGGGTTCTGTGAGAAGATACTTTGTTCACCTGTTCTGCTGACTTTGTTGTTAACCTTGCCGGAAGTGTTCTCTTTCAGCAAAATCCCACCAGATATCCATGGTTTTAATTTGTAGGAACAGAATGATATAGCTCCAGGCCATATGTCATCATCTGTGTTCCCTACTCCTTGAACTGCATTGTGATTGGGTCCTGAATTAGTGGGATCGTATCCTTTGACAGGGTTGTGGAAGTGGAGAGACCTGTGGCTCTCAACTTACTCTAATATGGGTGTTTTTACTTACAATCTCTCTCTTGCTAACATAACATTACACCATCATTGGAGGTAGGACCAATTCCTTAATAAGCATAAGATTTCAAACAAGTTACCTTCCTCCCTTGTCACTTCACTGACTTCACTCCAATTGTACTGGCAGCATCTCAGTAGCATAGGGGGTTATGCTTGCTGGCACAACACCAGCATCAGTTCTTTGCACTGCCATAACTTTTTAATCTTTCAGCACAGCGGAATTTAGTAGCAATCAAATCCTTACCCAGAAGATAGCCATGTATATATAACCACCCTGGATCTATGAGGGAAAACGACAAGGTATAAAGTTGACTAAAGTTCATCTCTACCCTTTTTTGCCATAGGTGGCAGAGACCTTCAATCAGGCAGAATCACATCTAGGAAAGAAAATCCAAAGGGGGTAGCCATGTAAATTTGTTACAGCAAAACAAACAAACAGGCTGCAGTGTTTTAAATATTTAACAGATTTATTATGACATCTGCTTTTGTGAATTTTATAAAAGCTCAGGTGATGATAAATCTGTTAGTCTTTAAGGTGCTATAATGCTCTTTTTCACCTTGGAAAAGTAATTGTTGGATATATGGAACGTGTGTTTACTCTTTTCTATGCATAGAACAAAGCAGAAACAAATATCTTGTGTCTTATGATAAATTCAGGATAAAAGATTGCATAAGGAAGAGGCTGGTTAAGAGATTAACAGTGCCATCTTAAGCAGTGTTACATCATTCTAAACCCACTGATCTCAGTGGGTTCAGAAGGATGTAACTCTGTTTAGGATGGCACAGACTTCCCTAGTCATCTAGGGACTCTACAACAACTGCTGTTCTCCTGGAAACAATTACAACAGACTAGTGGAGCAGAGCAACTGCAGCTGCCAGACATCAAAGCGTGTTTACAGCAGGTCCTCAAGCTGTCAGGCAATTCTGCCCCCACTCTGCACCTTGTAGAATTTGGGCATACCCACTTTATCAGGGATACCAGGCTGGTGCAGTTCAAGCAGACAAGGGCAGCATCATACATTCCTCTGTTCTGCTCTTCGGCTCAGGAAAGATCTCTCATCAGTTACTTGCGTCAAGGCTGGTGCACTCTGCCTGTGGCTCAGGTCCACATGCCACATCCATGCCTGCAACATAGTGTCAACTGCACACACACCCCCCCCACCACCACACACACACATAACCCCTACAGTCAGTTGCTACCAACCTCAAACTCTAATCTTCCCAGTACTCTTAGTCTTAGCCTCTAATTCTCCTTCTGGCCAAGCTTCGTTAACTGAGTTCACGTCCTCGCAGTCTCTTGAAGTCAGGCCAGGCAGCCCGAAACCACGCCCATCTAACCAAGCTCTCACCGGTCCGCTACTCTTGCTCGCGCTAGTGCACCTCACGATTACCGGTCTTCTCCGCGCAGCTCCTCCCAACACTACTAGCCCCTCCCGGATGCGTTCGTAAATCTCCCACCCCCTCCTAGGTGACTTCAACGCGACCCCAACCCCGGGCATCACCGGCACGCCTCCCCTTCCTCCCTAACGGCCGCGCCCCTCACCTGGCTTCCGAGCGTCTCAGCAACGACCACCAGCCCCAAACCCCTCCGCTCTCCCCCCATCGGCCACCGCCTCTCTCTTTCTCTTCGCTCCGTCAGCTGTGCCAGGCTCTCCCCACCACACCCGCCACCGCGAGCAGCAATCCACCGGGGTCTATCCCTCCACTTCGTTGGCTGTTGCCCAGGCAACCAGCAGTAACGCCGCTATTCATTGCCCAACCTTCCCGCTTCCCTCCCCCGCCCTTCCCTTGGCAGCCATCTTAGCGAAGGGCAAGAAGGCTTCCTACAATTATGCGGCCATGTTTATGAGGGGCAAGGTCCCTGTTTCGGTTCCCACCGGCGCCGAGGGGTTGCCATATTGAGACCCTTCTCTTCTGCTTTCCTCTGAGGGCAGGTTCTTTTTGCAGCTCTTAGCATGCGTAATTCAAGGCAGAACGGGGAGATGCTGCGATAAGAACCAGAGCAGTCAGAAAGAAATCTCTGCTGTCAAGGAAACCTTTACAATACAAACCGTTATTTGAGTATTGCAATAAATAATGACATTCATAATTTTAAAACTTGTTTTTGTTTCCTTTTTGACCATTGCACAAATTTTATTCGTTTGGATTTTGTTAGAAAAGACCAAAATGCAATGTATCGACTATGTCATTTCAGGTACCCTTACGGTTGCCAACCTCCAGGTAAAAGCTAGAGATCTCCCGCTTCCAGGCAATACATATCAGTTCACCTGGAGGAAATGGCTGCTTTGGAAGGTGGACTGCATGGTATTATATCGCATTGAAGCCCCTTCCCGCCTCAAGCTCCACCCCCCAAAATCTCCATATGTTTCTCAACCCGGAAGTGGCAACCCTAGGTACCCTTGGTAGATCTATATTTTATTGCAGAATCTTTATTCAGCAGTATGCGGTTCATATTGTCATCCTTTGTTCTTCTTTCATGTCCCTTGGTCCCCAAACCTAAAGAATTCTCAGTGGGAGACATATCTTATTTTCTCTGGGGATGAGTAAAACATTTAAAATTTTTCAGTTTTCTGGTTTAGTCCATATCTTATGGGCAGCAAATTCTTTTACAAACATGAAAGTTTTAAAATATTTGTTCCTATTATTTGTATTTAAAATAGAAGTGAGCATCTTTGCTGGCTTGTGAGTGCAATTTATATAGAAGAAACAATAGGAGGGAACGATTTGTAGCGAGTCATCGAGGTCCTCTCATTACTATGTGTAAACTACTGGGAAAGTAATGTTTTAATACTGGTTATGAGGGATGCACCATAAACATTTTGGTTCTAGAAGGGTACAATAATGAGATTCATTTTGTGGATCTAGTCTCTGGTCAATTGGTGTAGGTTCCCATAGGAGCACCATTTTGGAAAGGCCTAAAGCAAGTCTGCAGTCTTTTTCAGACTTAAAATATGTCTTTCAGAGCAATCCTGTGCTGTGGCAGCTGGCCACGGCCAGTGCAGGATTTATGTATAGGCTAAGAGGGCTGAAGCCTAGGGCTTCTAAATCTAGGGGGCCTCCACAGCCCTGCCCCCCCCCAGCAGGAAGTCTCCCCTCTCCCAAAATTGCAAACCCAAGACTTCATGCAAGGGCGTAAAGCTTAAGACCTGGACAAGGATTGTAAGCTGGAACAATCCCATTGGCTAATGTATAAATGTACCCAATCAGAGTGCAGAGAAATGTTCAGGAGGGAACTTGTTAAGTCGTGAACTTAACAAAGAAGTCGGAGAGTGATTTCAGCAAGAATGCGGTTTATTCTTCAGCTCGGTTACTTCTCCAACACGGTACAACAATCGCCAGCCAGAACCCATCAGTAGTCAAGTCCAAATATACACTGGCTGCTCTGTATTTAAACATTCCCGGCTAATGTAGCCACACCCACTGTACAGTAATACAACCTATGAGGTTGAAGAGATAACGTCCAATCAGGAGCGATCCCGCTTTGCAAGCTGATTGGCAGACACATTCTGGGCTAGGGCTCCTATTGGTTACATTAGGATCCTAGCCCAGGGCGAAGCTTAACATGGTATCTCAATTAGGTGATTCGCATAGCAGTTCATGCATATCAGTCAATACATAACAAATCCCTCCCCCCTAAGCAAAAACAATTATGAACATTCGAAATCACTTCGGTAGGGTGGCGCTCTGCGTATTCTCTGAGACCTCCGCGGCAGAGAAGGCTCAGGGCACCTTTGAATCGGGGGCACTCTGCTTGACTCACTCTCGAGTGGGTCAGCTTCGCTTCCATCCCTTGCAGTGGGTCCGAGAGTAGGGGTCTGCCCTCCCTCAGGGACAGTACTGGGCTCAGCATTCCCTGCAGTACTCACCTCCGGTGGAGGTATGGGATGGTCCTCGGGGTCAGGAAATTCAGTCGGCTGCGAGGTGGGGCGGCCAGTTGCCCACCGCTGCCTCAACTGGTCAACATGCCGTCTCCACTTGCGCCCATCCGCAAGCTGAACCTCGTACATGCGTGACCCCACGATCTCTGTGACGGTGGCCGGTAGCCACAAGTGTCCCCCTGCATAGTTTCTGGCAAAAACTGTATCTCCGCGTTCGTATGTGCGGACCTTGGTGGAAACACTCTGCTGCTGGGGCCTCAGGTCGTTTAAGTCAGGATGCAGTCTGTCCAACAACGACGTTAGTCGCCGCCCCATCAGCAATTCGGCCGGGCTGCGGCCTGTGGCAGAGCACGGAGTTACGTGCTGGCGCAGGAGAAAAGACGCTAGCTTAACTCCCCAGTCCCCGGATGTCAACTTGGCAAGCTTCGGCCGGGCTGCGGCCTGTAGCTGAGCACGGAGTTACGTGCTGGCGCAGAAGAAAAGACGCTAGCTTAACTCCCCAGTCCCCGGATGTCAACTTGGCAAGCACATCTTTGGTCGTGCGGACCATACGTTCTGCCTGCCCGTTCGAAGCAGGGTGGAACGGGGCAGAAGTAATTT